TGAGGAAACGAATTCTGGCAAAAGGAATAAAATTTTAGAATTGTAACAAATAATTGGGTTATTTGGTTGTGCGACGATGGGTCGTCGCCGCCAACAGCGGCGAGCACGATTGCTGAGAAATGCTTCCAGCAACAGCAGCAGCAGCAGCAATAGAGCGATGGACAATGTCCACTGACAAGGGTATATACTGTGTAATGAACACCGAATGTCCGTCCGGTCCCTCCTGTCCACCACATGATAAAAGCGCTCCCCCGCGGCTCAATGTTGCGCAACTGCAAGTGCTCCAAAGTCGCAGCGAGTACAACTTGACCGTACGATTGCTCTGGCTTGCACAAAGCACACAAAACTTCAGGAAAATATCAGCTCAAAGTACGCAATTCTAGGATAGAAGTAGCGCAAAAAAATGGGATTACTGCCCACAAAAAAGCGGGTAACTTTGCCCGGAATTTTGCCCTATGCGGTAAAAAAGATCCTTTTTTTAGAGGTGTATTGCAACGCAAATACTAATCGCGGGCGTTAATGAATTGGAATTTTCAGTCTCACTTATGTACTGTATTTATAGCTTCTTAGCCGCTAAAGTTGTTTTTTTCATGTTCTAAATTTTCTTGCTGATTAGCCGCGAATTGGTAGTTAATGGCTTCCTTTCTTAACAACTTTTGTCATTTCCGGATCCCCCTGTTGTGGGATTCAGCACGGATTTTCAGTGAAAACAACTGTAACAACTGTATGAAAACAACTGCTCTTGCTAGCCCAAATTATTTGTTAGCTTATTGAGAATGGAGGGAAATATACCACAGTTGTTTTTTTTTTTGTAGAATTCTGCGCTGAACGGTATTTATTCTCCGTGTGCTCCGACCACCTTCTGGAACATGTTTCGACCAAAAAAATTTATCCTTTTCGATAAAACCAGCCAGAAGTTGCATCCTTCCGTCCACTTGTTTTGAGATTATGATTTGGCTTTCTAATGGCCGCAATTTATTATTTGAATAACCTCATCTGTCAAAATCCTCATTATACTCGTAACAGCCCATTATAGAAAGTAAAATATGGTGAGATCTGCTAAGGAAGTATGATTTCCCGCAAAACATGGAGGCGCTAAATGTATAAGATTCCAGTTGACCAAGAGTGTAAACGAGCTGGGAAACGTGCTGCGATTGTGATGAGATTGACTTCTGTAGAAGTGCAAACAGTCTGAGTACAACTCCTGGCCAATTTTAACTGAAAATGTCGAAATTTTCCGCCGAATCGTGCCCCAAAAGGTGGAGGGAGTGCACGGGAAATGAATACTATTGTCTCCTGCAGAAATGCAAACAAAATGAATGAAAGCGATTTGGGGTGTCGCACAGCAAGGGAGGCAGCCATAATAATATTCCGGATCGGATTACTCCACAACCCAAAGGCAAAAAAAAAAAGAATATTTGGATCAAATGACCAAAAACACGACGTCCAGATTGATTTCTCCGATAGATTATTTTTGATTGCATTGATCAAAAACATCAGATTTTCTAATCATTTTTGATTTGATTACATTATTTTTGATTATATTGTTGTTTCTTCGATTACACTGATCCGATTTTTTTTCTTTTTTTTTGATAAAATAAACAAAAGAATCAAAAACAGAACGCATGGATGAGTAACAAATTTGGACTGTGCTGCCGAGAAAACCCCAAAAATCTTCAATGGGAAGAGTGAAATGCTTTTTTAAAAAGGATGATCACTCCACAACTGAGATAAAGATTGTCCAACATCTCAATCATATTGAGGTAACGGAGGTAATCTTTACCTCACTTTCTGTTTCTCTTTTCTACCTCAGAGGCACATAGCTTTAACTACCTCCGAGGCACCTAGCGAAATAACAAGACCAAAAAAAGTAAAACATATAAACAGTAAAAAAGAAGTAAAAAAAGTAAAAAAAAAAGAACTTCATTACCTTGCTCGTCCGAGAGAATTTTCTTAGCAAAATTTTCAGGGCGAGCTTTTCAGGAAAATTTCGCCACCTACGGCTTGCTCCTTTTAAAAAAATGAGCAAAAAGATAAGCGTTTGTGGATGAAACTGATATAACCGGTAAACGGTGCAGTGGACTAAAAAATCTGGGACAAAACTTTAGCTTCAAAATTCATTTTTTGACATTTTTGGTTAGAAAGTGCGGAAAAGCAAGTGGATTAACCTTTTGACATGCAGCAATTTGGAAGAGGAGAAGATGGGCCAAGCGTTTAGCACCTGCTGTGATCCAATGGATAATTATGGGTTAACCCGGGGCCATCAATGTGTCATTTATGAATGAATCCTATTTATCGGAGCTGTCGGTTGGGCGCTAATTACCGGAAAATGCTAAGCAATCGCAAATAAGAAATCGAAAAACTGCACCATATGGGAGGGCAAGGACGCTGGTCAATTTAGCAATTTTCCATGGAAGGAGGCGACTACGGATTTACCGCAAAAAATGTCATTTCATTCTTTGGATGACCAAATTCTTCCGCTCTTGTCACTATTCATCTTCCAGATTATTTTGAACTTGAAATTAGGTTTAGTTAGTTGAAAATATTCTTGCTTAACTAGTCCAAAACATCCGCCTCCCACTGTCCATTTAATTC